AGTCGCCATGCAGGGTTAGCTCAGTTGGTAGAGCATAGACTCCACGACCAGAAGGGTGCAGAGGGCCGGGTGGGTTTGAATCCCGGCAGCAGCAATTTCTTTCCCGTGAAAATTCACCTCTCACCTCTGTTTCAAGTGGGAATGAAGTGGTAAACCCCAAAGAAACAACAAAACAAGTTTGCTTTTACAGTCATATAAAGTCTTTCTAAAATCTCTCTCTCTCTCTCTCTATAATCTCTACTTTCTAAACTGGCATTAAATTCTTAAATTTTGGGTTTTTTTTAAGTATATCATGTTATTGTTTTTTTTTCATCAAGAATATTAATACCTTATTGGAAAACTTTAAGATTTTATTTCAACTGTTTAACCATAACAGTAAGCACTCATATTATCACAGACCATTCACAAAGTAAAACTTTGTAAACGAGCAGAAACATGTCCAGATAATTTCATTTCCATCCAGTCAATAAATATCCGAAAATGGTCAGTCCGAAATCAAGCTTGTTTATAAATACACACATTAACATGCGGCTTATTAACACATGAGAGAGGATTATAAAACTTATGCTAGCAAAATTTTGAGTGAAAAATATACTGATGTTCATTGAAATATTGTACACGTGAGTCTGTGAATATTTACGCACTTTTGAGCAGACATAATTTTTTTTAAAAAATCCTTTAATCTAGAAGGACACCGCAGGATCTCCTCGTTAAGTTGATACTTAGGCCGTCCGTATAATCGGAGCCAAGATTTGCACTTCTCATGCTTCCTCTGAGATTTGGGAAACGGTATGAACACAACACCTCCCTCTAATCGCATTGGGTAGCGAAATCGGTGTTGCAAGTTCCCCAGCAGCAACGTTTCACCTTTGTCGGAGAATGTCGGAGTAGCGAAACGTAAACAAAGAGGCGAATACTACCCGCGATCTGATTGGCTAAACCGCGCTGTCAATCAAAAATCGTCGATCGGCCAATTAGACGACATTTCTGACATTCTTAAATCTTTACATTCTAATAAAGCTGTTGGCAGTGACACAATAAGTCACATTAAGCTTAAATATACTACAGAGTCCACAGCTTATCCATTATCGCTAATTCTTAGAGCTTCCTTGGAGACTGGTATCTTCCCGCCACACTGGATATTAGCTTTAATTATGCCATTATTAAAAAATGGAATAAAAATGAGTCTTCTAACTACAGACCAATAGCTCTACTTAGTACTCTTTGCAAAGTTTTTGAACGTTTGGTTGTAAAATATCTAAATAATTATTTACTCGATAATTCTTTGATTTTTAAATACTAGTCAGGTTTCCAGCCTGGTCATTCTACTGTTCATCAAATTATAGAAATGTATCATACGTTATGTGAAAATATGGAAAATATGGAGTCAACGTGTTCAGTGTTCTGTGATATTTCTAAAGCGTTCTATAGCGTGCGGCACAAAGGACTGAATGTAGAACTAGCTAATTGTGGTATAAGTGGAAAATTTCTAGTTTGGTTGAACAATTATGTCAGTAATAGAAAACAGCAAGTCTATGTAGGAAATAGTAAATCTTTAATTAAATCTACAAATGCAGATGTTCCACAAGGCTCGGTATTGAGTCCCTTATTTTTTATTTTATATATTAATGTTATAGCTGATAACCTTGAAAGTCTTTCTAAACTGTTTGCCGATGATACTTCATTATTATGTTCCGGTACTTCCCTTTTGGCCATCGAAACTAAAATTAATAACGACCTGGCTAAAATTCAAAATTGGACAGAAAAGTGGCTTGTTAAATTTAATCCCTTGAAAACGGAAACTTTATTTATTTCAAACATTGAGCATGATCATGTCATAGATATTAAATTTAATAATGTGAGTGTCGACTTTGTAAACCATCATAAACATCTAGGGATAACTTTAGATGAAAATTGTAAATGGGGAAGACACATAGAAAATATTTGTAAAGATGCATTCAAACAGGTAAGTATCTTTCGTAAACTTAAATACATGTTAAATCGACACACTTTGGTTAAAATCTATAAAGCTTATTTCCATTACTAGAATACTGTTGTGAAGTTTGGGATAGGTTACTTCTATATGGTAGCATTGATTACTCGTATAAAAATATGTCAAATCACTCAGCAATATATACTTAACTCATATAGATCTCTCTCTCTCTCTCTCTCTCTCTCTCTCTCTCTCTCTCTCTCTCTCTCTCTCTCTCTTCGCATAGTAATTATATTTAAACATGTCGTCTTATCTTGTTAATATGATTTTTGTCAAACTTTATAGGAAAGGACTTAATATAAGTTAGAAAACTGTGCCCAATCATACCTGTACATTTGATACCAATAAAACATGTTTACATCAAAAGTAAATGATACGGAAACGATAGAGAGTGTTCAGCAAAGGACCACAGAGTTAGTCCCTGGGACAAGGAGCTATCATAGGAGTCATCTGAGCAACTGGAATATTCACTCACCAACAGGAGGTTGTCCGAGATCTATACCTCGTTTAGAACGAGAAGCCTTTCACAGAAACTGGACAAATAATATCACTGCTTGGACGCTCCATTTTTTTTATCGAAAAATTGAATCGCCTTCATGAGACCATTATACGGGTATCTACAAATAGGCTATTGACAGCTGGTAGCAAAACATACTGAAAATAAATCATGTCGCTAGCAACACACTCAAGATCGGAACTTGCTTATAAAAATGTCATTATGTTTATTTTCAAGACATGGACATGGAGACAAATGTGGCTATGTCTATCATGTAGACTATTATTATCTTAGCTAAGTATTGCTATTAACAGCCACATCATTTACGGACGTGACAGGTTTGGGTGGTGAAGGAAACCCGTGGACAGCAACTGGCGACTGTCCCACGTAGGTCTCGAACCCGTGGCCCAGGGGTCATCACCTAGTGATAAAGACGGTCAGACGCCATGATCAGTTGACCACCGCGGCCTTGACTTTCCAATTAAATATTTTATATATCTTATCATCAGATCAAAACTAGTGGTACTTGGTTAATGATATAAACAGATTGTCCAATAACTTCCATCCATTCCAAGGGACTACCACGTGATCTTCGCTATGGTAACCCGTACCCTGTGGAATGCGTTTAATTGGGTATCTTCACTTAAATACCACCTGCTGACAGTGACCAAATCAGTCCACCTGGCCTCCAACACCTAACATGTGGTCTTTACATGGAAATTTTGTTTGTAATCTTCGACATTTTTCAGCCACATGTGCATTTGTCCTCTTCCCTTGTTCATTGGCACTAAGAAACTTCTCCAGCCTTTTCTCATCGGTGATAAGCTGATGTTTGACTGATGTTCTGTATAGCCAGATGTATAAAGTGCCCATAGCCTTAAATGTGTTGACTTAACATTCTATCACATTGCTTGTCTGCTCTTGTTTTTATCATTCCTCCCTACCGGGACTTACGAAGACTTGATGTAATTATGGAGACTTGATGTACTTACGAAGACTTGATGTACTTATGAAGGCTTGATGTACTAATGGAGACTTGATGTACTTACGAAGACTTGATGTACTAATGGTGACTTGATGTACTTACGAAGACTTGATGTACTAATGGAGACTTGATGTACTTATGGAGACTTGATGTACTTATGGAGACTTGATGTACTTATGAAGACTTGATGTTCTTATGAAGACTTGATGTTCTTATGGAGACTAGATGTACTTATGAAGGCTTGATGTACTAATGAAGACTTGATGTTCTTACGGAGACTAGATGTACTTATGAAGGCTTGATGTACTTATGAAGACTTGATGTTCTTATGGAGACTAGATGTACTTATGAAGGCTTGATGTACTTATGGAGACTTGATGTACTTATGGAGACTTGATGTACTTATGGAGACTTGATGTACTTATGGAGACTTGATGTACTAATGGAGACTTGATGTACTTATGGAGACTTGCTTTTCACTACGACCACCCAACTTTGAAATACCGCCACATCATTAAGAGCTATCCAGGGTTGAGTCTGCCTCCTGAGAATCTATGTAATGAATGATATACATAATACCGGATGTAAATTGTCTATACAGTCGCCACTCTTCATTTACTAAACACAACGATATATACAACTTCCAGCAACTCAAAGTGATATGAACCAGGACCAATCCAACCAACACTACTGATTAACCAGGAAGTAACAACATACAACATAGATAAACACCAGTCAATGACTTCTGTAAACATTCCACTCTCCCCACTCCCTCACATTTGTCACTTTAATTCTTTCACATATGTTCAATCGCACATTCAGAATAATGATTACACATTAAAATAAATGAATTAGGTTAAACCCATATCACAACACATACAACTCAACTTCTATCAATCACAACACCTCCAAAGTACACAAATACTCTCACAATACATGGATGTTTATATGCCATACATTCTTGTCACCTGAAATCTTACTATAATATTTCACTTAGGTTTTAAATAATAGATACACAAATACAGAAATACCTTATTATTCGTATAAAAGGGACACAACTCTTAAACATGTATTCCCTTTACACTAGTATAGACTTTATTATCAATTTGTAAGTCGGGTCATTGTAATATAGTATTATGCCGAAACTTGCCGGAAACATCTGGGCCAATCACTGAATGGGCCAATCACAGAATGGGCCAATCACTGAATGGGCCAATCACAGAATGGGCCTATCACAGAAGCAGAATTCTTAGTCGTATACACGGACGATATTAAACGACCCAGTTTTATATAATCATCTTTAATTTGCACGTGTTAATGTTATGCATGACTATATATAATGATGCATTTTTAACATATATCGATGTGGTGTCTATTTTAGATATCAGTGCAATAACAAAATTATTTTGGGACTTGTGTTTGACTGCATCAAAATACGTCGTGCGAACAGGCCTCGTGTGCCTTTTACCTTAAATGATCAGAGTTATCTTTCGTATCTACGGCTAACTTCCTGTGTTTTGTTTTTTATCCGTCCGAGAACATCTTTTCCTTCCACAGTTCCACACTGATAATATTATTTGCAGGATCGTTGCAAACCATTTTCCATTGGTGTAAGAATTCCATGTTTATGACATACATGTGTACAACAGACGTCATCAGATATACAACACGTACTTTACCACGATCATGTACATGGAAAATGAAAATAACGTTAACCTGAATATTGTAATCATCCAGACTTAAATGTTGAAAGATTGTTACATCCCAAGATGGATGCACTTGTGGACTTATATTCTCTCTACTGTATATATATAAACAGTCTATTGGCTGGTATAATGAGCATTTTCAATTATTTAAAATTTTAATCTAGAATGACTCAATCTAGAAATACTTACTATCTTAATAAGCAGGTTCCCTATTGCACCCAAATTTCTAATTTCTAGTAGTGTGTGTTCAGCTTTGGGAGAGATCAGAAAAAATGGCCGACTAGCGGCCATATTGGATTTTGAAAAAAAAATATAGTATTGATTTTAGGGGGAGGGGTGAATCCTGGTAACCATCTTATATTTGGTATCTTAATATTGTTTTCATCTTTTATCAGAAAGTAATGGATGGACAATGAATTATGTCCGTGTGATCCTGTCTAACCAGATCTGTTATCAGAAGACTGAGAGTCTGTAACAAAATCTCATTTGCAACAAAGCTGACAAAGTAATACATATATATTACAGAATGTCAGCCCAAGTCTGAGATTTATCGATCTTTTGCTAAATATTGTGTGCAGGTACCAGACAGAAAATTCTAGGACTGGGTAATGTGCAAGATTTATAGTTCTCTCCTCCAGGGGGTAAAAGTTAGCAGTAGGCTTTGTTGAGATTGAATCGTTATCCACAGGGTTGAGATAAGTCTAGCTACATCACATGGAGGTGACTGATTATTAGCTTACCTATAATCAGAAGGACCAAGTTACCTTATGGGATAAAAAGCATCTGACATTTGTCATCTATGGTCAGTCAACAGTTTACATTTAAATCTTCTAAACTTCTGGAAGTTGTTCTGAACTATCAACATCATAAGTGCACTGTGAAATATGGATCCTAATTGATGAAGTTATTCCAGTGTGACATGGTTTTATCACAGTGATGTTGCCTTTTCAATGAGCTGTCCACTCCCTAGTGTAACATATACTTTGCTCTTACTCTGGACACTATTACTGGGGAGAGATTTTCTTATACACTAGTGGGAGACCTGGATTCCTGTGTCAGGAGAATGGTATCACAGCAGCCATTAATGTATGTCCTGACACAATTCCAAGCAAATCCAAAATGATACAGGGAAAGGAAAGGGATTATTATATATGCAATCACTAAGAAAACCTCATGCAAATTTGATGTTTCCTTTTGTGTTGAGATCTTACTATCACAACTTAAAGGAGGTGAACGATTCTATGTATCTTTACCAAGCAAACATCAGAATTCACTCGTGAGGTTTGGAAGAAAAGTTGATGTAAATTAAGGGTTGTATATCAAGTTTTAGCTGACGTTCATTAAATAAAAATATTTATCAGGAATCTATATACATTATAAATGTATTTATTTTATTAAGGTATGATGGATGGTATACAAACACAAGTGTGATAGCATCAAAAAAAAGTATCCTGTAGTTCACTGAGTGGAGACAACACGTGTTGTCATGGATACCATATCTGTTCTTGTTACTGGTGGCAACGGTTTCCTTGGACAACACATTATAAAACACCTTCACTTGGCGGCTGATGACCTTCACCTTAGTGAGATTAAAGTTCTTGACCTTGTGCCTTATACAAATAAATTAGGTAAAGATGTTTTCTCAGAAATGTATGTTTTTGTTCTTTGTTATACTTATGGTCTTTGTCCTCAAATCTCAGAAATGTATGTTTTTGTTCTTTGTTATACTTATGGTCTTTGTCCTCAAATCTCAGAAATGTATGTTTCTGCTCTTTGTTATACTTATGGTCTCTGACCTGTTCTAAAAGTCCAGATTTATGCAGAGACAAGATCAAGCAGATACGCTGATTGAAAATTGCATTTATCTTTTAATAGCAGTTTTTCCTCAATCGGTAGAACTGTTGACAATTGTGTCCTCATGCTGAGTAATCACACTGTCCTGATGAAGCTCAAAGTTCAAGTGAAACAAGTAGACTACAACAAATAAAACCGAGACTTCCAGCTCTTACTTTTTTAGAATCAATTAATGTATGAATGTTACTGATTTATTTTAAAAGACCTGGAGAAAACTGATGAAAATCATATCAATAGAAATATTGTATGTCTTTTATAACAAGAATTATTCAGTTACCAGGGTAATTAACGAGCATTATCATTGGAAGTGAGTTACATGTTCTGAAATGAGGTATATTTATTATTGTAGCATACAAGCCGACTCGTCCAGTGAAGCTGTACCAAGGAAATTTGTTAGATGAGGAGACAGTACATAAAGCATGTACAGGTGTACAAGCTGTCCTTCACATAGCTTCATATATAGATACCAAACTCTTCCCTGATACCACTAAACTCACACAAGTCAACGTTAAAGGTGAGGTTATACGGGTATATAACACTAAACTGTCCCAGGTCAGCTTTAAAGGTGTGTTTCAAGTTAATACAGGTATATCTACTGTATCTACTGTTTAATGATTACAGGTACCCAGTGTCTGGTGGACATTACAGGTACCCAGTGTCTGGTGGACAACTGTATCTACTGTTTAATGATTACAGGTACCCAGTGTCTGGTGGACAACTGTATCTACTGTTTAATGATTACAGGTACCCAGTGTCTGGTGGACATCAGTAAGGAGGAAGGCGTGTCCTATTTTATCTACTGTTCCTCGGTAACGTGTGTACAGGGTTATGATGAGGTCCTCGGAGGGACAGAAAATACCCTCCCATTCCTCCCACATGACAAACTCATGTTCCGACAGTATGGTAGCAGTAAACAGAAGGCAACATCAATTGTCCTCAACTCTAATGGAGACAAGTCAGGAAATGGTATGTACTGTTACTATTCAGGAAGTATTATGATGACAAAAGCTTTCTTTTTATTGTGATGCTTTGGTGATGTCAACTAACCTAGACTATTCTAAATGGACAGTGTTAATATTTATTTAATTTAAAATCAGCCAGATACTGAAAATACAATAACTAGTGAATATTTCTATAGTTGAGAATAAGACTTCTCATAGCTGATGTCTACTGTAGTGATTTTAAACATTTATGTAAGTCAGTAATTAATTCTGGTGTACCAGATATAACAAACATTTGGAACTGAATCCAAAACACCTCAAAGAAAAGTTGAAACGTGTAGCATATTCATAAATTACAACATCAGCATTTTTAACATCCAATAATACATAGATAGTTGCAATGACTGATACTCTGTAGGGAAGCTGATATTCATTCAGAATATTTATAAAGTGGTAACGATTATTATATCCCATGGTTATATCACAGCAACCATGGTTATATCAAAGTAATCATGGTTATATCACAGTAGCTATGTTGATATCACAGTAACCATGGTTATATCCCAGAAACCATGGTTATGTATTCCAGTAACCATGGTTATATCCCAGTAACCATGGTTATATCACATTAACCATGGTTATATCCAAAGTAATTATGGTTATATCACAGTAACCATGGTGATATCCAAAGTAATTATGGTTATATCACAGTAACCATGGTGATATCCAAAGTAACTATGGTTATATCACAGTAACAATTGTATATTTAAGAAGCCATGGATATATCCTGTTATCAATTGTTATGTCAGTAACATGAAGACCTACAATGTAACAGTGTGAAGAGATATCAATTATCATACAAGTGTGTGTATATTGTGTGTTTATTATTTGTATATTGTGTGTATATTGTGTGTTAATTGTGTATATATTGTGTGTATATTGTGTTTATTGTGTGTTTATTGTGTGTAAATTGTGTGTATATTGTTTGTATGTTTGTATGTTGTTTGTATATTGTGTGTATATTGTGTGTATATTGTGTTTATTGTGTGTTTATTGTGTGTAAATTGTGTGTATATTGTTTGTATGTTTGTATGTTGTTTGTATATTGTGTGTATATTGTGTGTATATTGTGTGTTTATTGTTTGTATATTGTGTGTTTATTGTTTGTATATTGTGTGTATATTGTTTGTATATTGTGTATATTGTGTGTATATTGTTTGTATATTGTGTGTATATTGTTTGTATATTGTGTATATTGTGTATATTGTGTGTATATTGTGTGTATATTGTTTGTATATTGTGTGTATATTGTTTGTATATTGTGTGTTTTTTGTGTATATATTGTGTGTATATTGTGTGTATATTGTTTGTATATTGTGTGTATATTGTTTGTATATTGTTTGTATATTGTGTGTATATTGTTTGTATATTGTGTGTTTATTGTGTGTATATTGTTTGTATATTGTGTGTATATTGTTTGTATATTGTGTATATTGTGTGTATATTGTGTGTATATTGTTTGTATATTGTGTGTATATTGTTTGTTTGTATATTGTGTGTATATTGTTTGTATATTGTTTGTATATTGTGTGTATATTGTGTGTATATTGTTTGTATATTGTGTGTATATTGTTTGTATATTGTGTATATTGTGTATATTGTTTGGATATTGTGTGTATATTTGTATATTGTTTGTATATTGTGTGTATATTGTGTGTATATTGTGTGTATATTGTTTGTATATTGTTTGTATATTGTTTGTATATTGTGTGTATATTGTGTGTATATTGTTTGTATATTGTTTGTATATTGTGTGTTTTTTGTGTATATATTGTGTGTATATTGTGTGTATATTGTTTGTATATTGTTTGTATATTGTGTGTATATTGTTTGTATATTGTTTGTATATTGGTTGTTTATTGTGTGTATATTGTTTGGATATTGTGTGTATATTTGTATATTGTTTGTATATTGTGTGTTTATTGTGTGTATATTGTTTGTATATTGTGTATATATTGTTTGTAAATTGTGTGTTCATTGTTTGTATATTGTGTGTATATTGTGTGTTTATTTTTTGTGTATTTCTAGGCAATCAGATGTGGACAATGGCACTGATACCTACCACCATGTATGGAGAACTTGACCATGGCTGTTTTACATTGAGTCTGAGGATGGCTTACAAAAGCAATGGTTCCATTCCCAAGTCTGGCTCTGCAACAAGCCTCTGTCAATTTGGTTATGTGGGAAATATTGCCTGGGGCTTTATCTGTGGGCTGAAGACTTTGATTAGTCAGCCAGACCAGGTGGCTGGACAACACTTCCTGCTGTGTGATGACACGCCCAACGGACCATTGTCCAGACTGCAACAAGAATTCCTGGAATGTTGTGGAATGAAGTATACTTGTCATAAAATACCAGACTTAGCTCTATATTTCTTGGCCATTATTGTCACCATATTAGGGTATATACTCTACCCAGTCTACAGGCTGGATTCGGACCTTACCTTCCCTGGAGTGTCCTTCACCCAAAGGTCATTTTATTTTACCTACCAAAAAGCAAAGAATATTTTATCATACACACCTCTTTACAGTGTGGAGAAATCTCTTACAGCAGCCAAGCAGTATTACTCTACAATGGACCTCAGTTAGCAATGTTAAAGGGAAGTAACTCTGTTGTCTATCATATGTAGTGCTTGTAGGAAATATCTATTAGGCCATTTTCATACCAAAGATTGAAAAAACAAGGAATTGTTGAACCTGAAAGAAAAATTACAGACAACTGTTGTACCTTTATGTGTAACTTGAATGGTTAGCGGTTAATTTTGTATGGTAAGAGTGGAAAAATGTCAGTTTCTAGAAGTTAAAGTTAAACTAATGTTTCTAACCTTATAAAGTATATATAAATATATAATAACTGTTATGTCTTTGTGCAATAATAAATATTGTACGATACTAATACTGATGTAAGTAAGCATACACATGAAGCTACTTGAGATTTTGTTTTACATTATTTTCTTGTTTTATATTTAAATTTTAATAACAATTTTAATTTGACTTTTTATATTCACACTCATGTTAAGTGCGTTATATTTTAAGGAGTTTTTACCTAACTAAGAATATAAGGTGATTTTACTTTTGATTCTACTAGATATATTAATAGGAGTTGTAAACGTTCTTTACAATAATTCAATTAAAATGTGCTTCCTTATATCAATACAGGAAAATTAATTGGAAATTTTCTTTGTCAAAATGAAATTTTTGTGTAATGTGAATTAATGATTTCATGTTTCCTATATTGAATTTTCAAAATATTACATCTGACTGCATTTAAAAAATTTTTCAATGTTGTCATCAGGTTAAACAGGTAATCAAAATCATGTTCAAGTGGTTCAAGTATACTGATATCTCAATACCAGTTTGGTTTTTACACAATTTTAGTATTTTATTTACAAAAGGTATTAAACTGTGTTTGAAAAGGTACAAGGTACAACATGAAGAAGAATGTTATTGTATATAAAAATACATACATCTGTTTTTGCAGTACCATATCTGTGTATATTGAATGAGAATGAAGGTATTTAATGGATTGGAGAATTATTCAGCTGTGCATATAAGAAGTCTCAAGTATTCAATTTGATGTTTAATTATCAAGTAAGTCTGAAAATATAATGTAGTATCGGTATAGCATTAGAATAGGGACATTGTCAATGTTTTACACAGTCATTGTCTATACTATTTAGCAGGTGATCCGTGTTATCTATACTCTTTAGCAGGTGATCTGTGTTATCTATTATCTTTAGCAGGTGATCCGTGTTATCTATACTCTTTAGCAGGTGATCTGTGTTATCTATACTCTTTAGCTGATTGTCCATGTTATGTATACACTTTAGCAGATGATCAGTGTTGTCTTTACTCTTTAGCTAGTGATCTGTGTTATCTATACTCTTTAGCAGGTGATCCATGTTATCTATACTCTTTAGCTGGTGATCTGTGCTATCTATACTCTTTAACTGGTGATCCGTATTATTTATACTCTTTAGCTTTTGATCCGTGTTATCTATACTCTTTAGCTGGTGATCTTTGTTATCTATACTCTTTAACTGGTGATTCGTGTTATTATACTCTTTAGCTTTTGATCCGTGTTATCTATACTCTTTAGCTGGTGATCTGTGTTATCTATACTCTTTAGCTGGTGATCAATGATATCTATACTCTTAAGCTGGTGATCTATGTTATCTATACTCTTGAACTGGTGATCTGTGGCATCTATACTCTTAAGCTAGTGATCTATGTTTTCTATACTCTTTAGCTGATGGTCCATGTTATCCATACTCTTTAGCTGGTGATCTACGTTATCTATACTCTTTAGCTGATTGTCCATGTTATCTATACTCTTTAGCTGGTGATCAGTGTTATCTGTACTCTTTAGCTGGTGATCAGTGTTATCTATACTCTTAAGCAGGTGATCCATGTTATCTATACTCTTTAGCTGGTGATCCGTGTTATCTATACTCTTTAGCTGGTGATCAATGTTATCTGTACTCTTTAGCTGTTGATCAATGTTATCTATATGCTTTAGCTGGTGATCAGTGTTATCTATACTTATTATCAATACTCATGAGTTAGTGATCAGTTGTATCTATATTTCTTGCTTGTGTAAAGAATATATATATACATATACATATATATTGCCTATACTCATTAGCTGATGATCAGTGTTATCTATACTCTTGCACTGATGACCAGTGTTATCTATACTCTTGCACTGATGATCAGTGTTATCTATACTCTTGCACTGATGACCAGAGTTATCTATACTCTTGCATTGATGATCAGTGCTATCTTTATGCTTGAACTGATTATCAGTTTTATCTATACTCTTTAAAAGGTGATCAATGTTATTGCTTCTCTTTACATTGTGATCAGTGTTGTTTATATTCTTTTGCTGATGAGTGTACTCTTAAGCTGGTGACCAGCAGTATATTTCTTACCCTATATATATTAGATATTATTTTTAAGACTTGTTTCATGTATATCAATAACATGATATGTTACAATAGAATTCATGGGCCAGACAATTCATGCTAAACAATCAATTTATATACATATGGCTGTGGAGATAAACTTCTTAAATGCATAATAAAACTGAAGACTTTTTTTGCTTATTATTTCTTCAGTATCTTTGCTCATACTCATTCTTCTGTTATAGAAAGTTATAGACTGTTATCTTACTGACAAAAAGGAAACCATCTACATGCAGTAGCTGAAAGTACTGGTTGCTGGATAGAGTTACATCATTTTGTAAAAAAAAATGTCTGAAGGAAAGATTTCGATTAAAAAAAGATAACAATTGGTTGAATTGCTGCTATTTGTCACAGCATTACACATGTATAGGATATCTTCAAATGAACATAAAATAATATGTTGGCTGTAGGATTGTTAACACCATTGTTACAAGTACAAGTCTATTGTTCTTTTATCTGTAAAATGTCATTGATAAATTGACTAAAAATATCACTCTGTGACATTAGCAGTAGTTGATAAATTGATATAAGAGATATCACTGTGACATTAGCAGTAGTTGATAAATTGATATAAGAGATATCACTGTGACATTAGCGGTAGTTGATAAATTGATATAAGAGATATCACTGTGACATTAGCAGTAGTTGATAAATTGATATAAGAGATATCACTGTGACATTAGCGGTAGTTGATAAATTGATATAAGAGATATCACTGTGACATTAGCGGTAGTTGATAAATTGATATAAGAGATATCACTGTGACATTAGCGGTAGTTGATAAATTGATATAAGAGATATCACTGTGACATTAGCGGTAGTTGATAAATTGATATAAGAGATATCACTGTGACATTAGCGGTAGTTGATAAATTGATATAAGAGATATCACTGTGACATTAGTGGTAGTTGATAAATTGATATAAGAGATATCACTATGACATTAGCGGTAGTTGATAAATTGATATAAGAGATATCACTGTGACATTAGCGGTAGTTGATAAATTGATATAAGAGATATCACTGTGACATTAGCGGTAGTTGATAAATTGATATAATAGATATCACTGTGACATTAGCAATAGTTGATAAAACACATATTTCCTATAACATGCAACAAAACAACAAAAATAACTTTCAAAATTTTCTTTCATTTATTTAACAAAATAATAAAACAGAACATAATAATAAAAGCTTTTTGACAAATAATACTTAAATAATTAATATTTGTTGCTAATAACAAAACAATAAAGGTACAAACACACACACACACATATATATATATAGTAATTTAACACAAAATTGTAAAGTGATGAAACTTGACAGTGTACATCACTATAGTAATCAGGAACCCTTTTTGTTTACAAGTCTGACATTTCTGTAATAAGGACAAACCCACTAATCTTATTATGCTTTCTGACAAACCTGGACTATGCCTTCCTAGACATGTAATTAATATTTGAAAGTTCATCCCAATTTATGCCTGAAATGCTACATTGAAAGTGCTGATGAATAAATAGGATTCTGGATCAACACAGACACCAAATCTGACAGGAGGTGAAAAATGCCTGACCAACTCAGAATTTGAACTCGCAACAAAGCTAATGGGTAAGTCTACCAATAGAGCTACCATGTTGCTGGTCCAGTTTAGTCCAGTTCCACTATATAGCAATAGTAGAGTACAGTTCATCTACTAAATCAGTACAAACAAGATACGTATCTTTAGATAAACAATGAAAAACTAAGTCCCACAAAAATACTTTTACAGTACAATTTTACACCATAATCATACTCTGATACTACCATATCCATCCAACAAATAAACCTGGAAATAGATCTTCCCTGTTGTTCAGTTAATCATTTAAAACAACTAAAGCTCCTATAATAAGCCCATCCCCTGACAATGAGAAACAGCTAATGTATTGGCCTTACTGGGTCCTGTGATAAGTCCACTCCCTGACTTTAAGTCAGAGATAATGTATTTGCCTTACTGGGCCCTGTAATAAGTCCACTCCCTGACTTGAAGTCAGAGATAATGTATTTGCCTTACTGGGCCCTGTAATAAGTCCACTTCCTGACTTCAAGTCAGAGATAATGTATTTGCCTTACTGGGCCCTGTAATAAGTCCACTCCCTGACTTTAAGTCAGAGATAATGTATTTGCCTTACTGGGTCCTGTGATAAGTCCACTCCCTGACTTTAAGTCAGAGATAATGTATTTGCCTTACTGGGCCCTGTGATAAGTCCACTCCCTGACTTTAAGTCAGAGATAATGTATTTGCCTTACTGGGCCCTGTAATAAGTCCACTCCCTGACTTGAAGTCAGATTATTGTGTTGGTAACTGACTTATTGCAGGATAGATATGACTGTGTTGCTTTTCTTTATTTTAACAACACTTTAACATTAATACATAGTAAATTTTTATGTATGTTCCTATATTGCACTGATAAGCAAAGAATAGCCACACTGTGGACATGCTAGCAAACCCTGCAGTAATACAATGACATACACTGTTTATACGGTAAGTTGTACATTCTTTTATCATCATACAAACTTTATTCTTTATATTTGTATTTTTTGTTTTCTTTTTTCTTTTTTTTTGTATTTCTTTGCTTCCATGACATTTACAGTAGCCCAAGTTTACTCTACCAGGTGTCACATTTTGTGGAGCAGAACACCAGATATCTGTCAAAACAAGGAGCCGGTGTAGCATGGTGAAAGCACCTCCAGTAATCACAACCTTTACTGCATGATACATATACACAGACATTGTTAGTTAAGAACTTCGTCTATTGCACTCTATAATTCTTAATGCTATTATTATGTAAATTAGCTTTTACTTTAAATACCTTGTTAAAGTAATATTAGACTCTGACAACACCTGCCCTTATAAGGAGTTGTAGCTTCTGACAACACCAGGCATTATAAGGAGTTGTAGCTTCTGACAACACCAGGCATTATAAGGAGTTGTAGCCTCTGACAACACCAGGCATTATTAGGAGTTGTAGCCTCTGACAACACCAGGCATTATAAGGAGTTGTAGCCTCTGACAACACCAGGCATTATAAGGAGTTGTAGCCTCTGACAACACCTGACCTTATAACAATTAGTTACCTCAGATAATGCCGACAAAATGCCACATGTATCCTTGGTATTCATCACAAAATACATATACAATGAATCAGTGGTATAATGATTGACAAATCTGATATCTAAAGGCATTAAATATAATGTAGAAAATGTGTTGGGTGTTGTTATTGCACTACCAAGCAACTCAATACTGTGAAATACTTGTACTAATGTACAGTATACTTCACTGCTTCTAATTGCTATGTGTTATTGATAGCCAGTTGTAAATTGTCACACAACATATGTTTACAGGCGACTGATTTCACCAGGCAAGCAGAGGTTATATTATATTTCAAATTTAACTGCCAATACACATTCCTCAAAGTCTGACATCTCCACTAGATAGTAGTATATTAGAGTGACACACATATCCATGTTGTCTTCTTGTCACAGTAATTTTACTATCTGGCTATTGTATGTAACCTCTCTGTGTTGACCAATCTGTGCTATACTGTAATCTTGTATAACTTTGACCTGAGAAAGATGGTTTTTAAATCAGGAGGGTATAAAAAACACTGTAAGGCGTCATCTAGCATCTCTCCTGAGAGTTTGAGGGCGATGTGCAGTCGTTGGACTTCCATAATCGTTAATGGATGTCAGGTCTACTGCAGGAATGGACATCTGCTTGTATTGTGTAATGGTGAGTTCACGTCTTCGGACCTTTGAGGAAGGAGAAGAAGCTAGACATTTTAGAAGGCTGGTCTGTCCTCACACTTTTCACGTCTAGGTATCGTCGCCTCTCTGCCACGTAATGTTTAGCTGATCGATCCCAAGAGGCCCTCTCTAATAATACCTATTGGACAAATCATAATTATACAATTATACAAAGGTCTGACAACCTCCAGTTATTACACTAAAGGGATGTGAATTACACAAAGCAGTCTGACAGACTAACAATGCTATATATACCATTGAAAAGTTATCATTTAAATTTGATTTATAAAATTGGAGTGAAATTTTTTTAGCTGTAATCTTGTTCACCAATTTTTAAACAGAAATAATTGTATTAAAAATATAATTGAAATATATTTACATTTCTGTATGTTGTTTTAACTTGATAGTATCAATTAAGTATGCATTATGAATACCAATATTTCAATTTAATTAATTTTATTTTATGACAGCAATTTACATTTTTAAATGTTCTCTTTGATACATGAAATATCTAGGTCACATGATTACCTTATATGGGCCTTGTGTCGGTGTGACAGAACGTTTGATGGCCATCATGACAACAGGTTTTGCATCAACCGTCTCAGACATACTGATGCGCTCTACCCCAGATAGATGAAGTACAACCTCCCCAGCAAAGTCATCTTGTCCAAAGTGGTCATGGTCCAATACACTTAGCAGAATGACCGCACCTTTTGTGGTCAAGTACTCCTGAGGAATGTTCGGGCTGTTAAAACAGGATATTTCTCACCATCAAACTGATAATCCATTAAATTTTACCTCACCATTAATCAGATAATCCACTAAATTTTACCTCACCAGTAAACATACAATCTACTCAATTTGACCTCACCAGTAAACATACAATCTACTCAATTTGACCTCACCATTAAACATACAATCTACTCAATTTGACCTCACCAGTAAACATACAATCTACTCAATTTTACCTTACCATCAAACTGATAATCCATTAAATTTGACCTCATCAGTAAACAGATAATCCACTATGTTTTACCTTACCATTAATCAGATAATCCACTAAATTTTACCTCACCATTAAACATACAATCTACTCAATTTTACCTTACTATTAAACAGATAATCCACTCAATTTACCTCACTATTAAACAGACAATCTACTTGATTTGACCTCACCATCAAACAGATAATCCATTAAATTTGACCTCACCATTAAACAGACAATCTACTCAATTTTACCTCAGCATTATGTGCTATCCATCTGATGTGATAAATTTTTTACAAACTTACAATTGGAATGTGGCATTGAAGACAGGATTAAGAGATTTCTCCACTACTCGTGTCTTCTGCGGCTTGTGGTGACCGAACATGGTCTGAGGGAGGACACTGGTCACTACGTAGGGGTCACTGAGTCCAGATGGATCCAGACCAGGCAGGTCCGTCGCTCGAATCACTGATAACAGAATTAGTGATATGTCAAAAGTCTATAACATCAATGTAATGAGTTAATTATTTTATGTGAAGATTCAGTACTGTATATTAGGATATTTTGGTCGAAGTTATTTCCTCCCTATATATATCACTATTCATGAATTCACCTCATGTTCACTCTGCCCTCTGATTGTTATATGAAAGGGCATATATGTGAACCAATTCTGCCCCCATCTTAAATTTGCCATCACTTTTCATGGACGAAAAGGGCAGAAATTTAAGAGGCAAAAAAATTCCAGGTTTACAGAAACAAAATGTTTAAGTACTCCTTTCACAAAGTTGTGAGATTTTAAAATAAATCTAACAAAGATTTAAGAAATTACCAGAGTTTTGTACATTTTGAAATATATTTGTCAAACATTTAAGAAGTGACCCAAGTTTTGTACATTTTTTTAACAATTTGACAGGTACAACAAGTGACCCGAGTTTTGTACATTTTTATAACAATTTGAGACGTATAACAAGTGACCCGAGTTTTGTACATTTTTATAACAATTTGAGAGGTATAACAAGTGAACCGAGTTTGGTACATTTTTATAACAATTTGAGAGGTATAACAAGTGACCCGAGTTTTGTACATTTTTATAACAATTTGAGAGGTATAACAAGTGACCCAGTTTTGTACATTTTTATAACAATTTGACAGGTATAACAAGTGACCCGAGTTTTGTACATTTTTATAACAATTTGACAGGTATAACAAGTGACCCGAGTTTTGTACATTTTTATAACAATTTGACAGGTATAACAAGTGACCTGAGTTTTGTACCTTTGACAAAAAGAGTTATGTTGCCTCTTGTCTCCTCTAGGTAGGCTGTCTTTACAGCAAGATGGCCAAAATATTCCACTGGTGTTTCCTGTACAAAAATAACAGAAATTACATCATCTGCAACACTTAGTCAGTGTATACAGTAGTATTTTAACAATCACCATATCTTTATTTCACAGGGATTCACACTAATTCCTGCAGTTGTCTCAATATCCAGCATGGTTTTAAGGGGCCAGTTATTTGGCCTGTTAGACCAAAAAATCTAACTGATGATAAACAGCGCTCAAAATTAGTACCTTCTTTTTAGATGTCATTAGTTTTTTTATCTGACAACAAGGGCTGTCAGAGACAAGTCTTGCTCCCCGAACGGGACAAAATTAAAGTATGAAAATTAACAAAGGGCAATAACTTCTATATTATGCAAAAGAGAGTTATAGCTCTTGTATATTGCACTTCTCCTTGTTGAGATCTATCTACCAAGAAAGTTTTATGATGATATCTCTTATAATTTTTGTGTTATGCTTGGGCCAAAATTATGACGAACAGACAGACAGTCAGACGAATGGATAAAGTGGCAACAACATGCTCTCCCTTAGGGTAGCATAATAAAACTCCAGGTAAGAACTTACTAAGTTATCAGCAAGTGATTTGAGATAGGCAAGCATTAATTCCTCAGTAGACATACAGTTTATGTCAATCCTTTGCTTCAGTGCTTCAAAATGACACGTATCAATCTTGTCATCTTCACAACCACCACGAACAAAATAGGAGGTCAACGCTCGCACATGCTGAAACAAAGATATATAGCGATGTCTTTAAGGTATGTAACTTATTGAACCTTTCTTCTGGAACACATAGTTTTATATCTTCTCAATGCTGTTTGACAAATCAATTATATAATGAAAACATCATCAATTTACAATCAAACAAAATATTAAATCTTCAATTTACCAGTTCATTTTGGTTTTGGACAATTACAAGTTAGGTAAATTATTTGGTATCTTTGTAAAAAATATTTCAACCTAGTCCTCACAGGACCAAGAGTAAATTACAACAGGTTTCTGACACTTACCTGTTTCATTTGCTGATAATATTCTGGTTTTTTCTGCCAGAAAAAAAAATAAAGTAGAATTAATGCAAAGTACATGATATACCATAAGATATGTGAGTTCTCAGAGGATTTCTTTTAGAAATTCTCCATATTAGTTCATTTCATACATGAAGCAGTTTTGTGATGAATAGAATGAAACATTTCTTTTGACACCTGAGTTTTCTGCATTGAAGGTTATTCAACATAACCCTATTACTTGTTATAGGGATAATTACACTCAGGAAAATGGTTTAATTCATTTCAATTTAAATTGATATAATTGAAAAAAAAAAGAAAAGAAAAGACCAACAAAAGAAATAAGCACTTTGTATATGGTTTTAAAAGCACTTCAAATGTGGTACAAGACCACTAAACCAGAATCCTATCATACTTACCCCAACTTGAACTTGTTGGTCCAGCAAGTTTACAACTGTACCCCAAAGCTGGAGGACCACCCGAGGGAAGATGGATGACATCAGACGGTCATGTAGCGTCATCAGATTGGTTGATAAGTAGCCAATCAGCTGGTCTACTGACTAAAACACACAAATAAGAAAAATCTTATGAGAATTTTCATGTTTTTTTTCTTCTTTATTTTATTTTTAAATTTGAGGTTTGGGAAAGGGGATGGGGGGAGGGAAAGAAAAAAGAAAGATGCTAAACATTTCTTTTAAGGAAATGACTATCACAAAATTCTACAATTTACATAAAACAGCGCCTTGACATTGAAATTAATTGTTGAAACACAGATAAACAGTCTTATGAACTTACTGATGCCTTCTCCGGTTGTTGTATAGTAAATATTTCCATATACCGTGCGATATCAACTCTCATTTTCTCCGTTATTTGCTGTAAAAGTAGCGAACTCTTTAAAATTATCTCTTTGTTTGCTGTGTCCACAAGTCTCCTCAAGGTTGACATGGCTTGATGTCCGACATCATCATTTTCATATCGTGTAGATATAAGCATGACTACAGAGTCCCAGTCTAAGAGTTGAGGCAGTTCTGTGAGGTACTGGCGGACATGTTCAATGTTGTTCAGGGTGATACACAGCTGAAACAGGAACAAACAGCTGCTACAAAAACAGTTTTAACACGCACACTGTAAAACTTTCAGAAAAATCTTAACAAGATATGTATTTGATGCAAAAACACTTTGAAAAACGTTCAGAAAATACAGAATACTAAGTCTGTGGGCGATCTGATAATAAAGGACACAGCAGCATCTGTTGTGATTGTGGTAAAAAGACTTTTGTAAACAGTTTTACTCATAATGTGATAGTATGAGATAAATAGAATTTTTATTGAGTCTGTATTGCTGCCATCCCTCATGTCAGACTTTGACTGGTCAACACGAGGCTGACAACCCTCATGTCAGACTTTGACTGGTCAACACGAGGCTGACAACCCTCATGTCAGACTTTGACTGGTCAAAAACAAATAGTATGCTGTACTGAAATATATTTGTTGTACCATCATCATGTTCCATGAGATGTACGTCCTTGATTACGTTCTCCACTGTCGACAAGGTTACACTACATAAAATGATGATGCTACTGTATTGTGAGTAGCGTTACAGTGCCTGCCAGCCGTCCTTCCATATCCACTGAGCTGTCCTATCACTAACAAACAGGGATCACCCTGTCAAGTACGTGAGATAAAGGTCACTTACTCTTTCTGTTACATCAAACTGCTCCAACGAGTCATCATAGTAACAGTTTCTCTCTAAAATGGAATGTATCTTTTCTCCATACATCCGAGCACCGTCACAAATCAACTGCAAAGAAGGTTTTTTTCTTGTTTATTCTTTCTTCAGTAGTTTATTATTCAAACTTACTGGTACCTTTCGAAAACAAATTTTGAGCTTTAAATTTTAAAATGAAAAATTGTTTTAAATTCATAAAATTGATTTTTTTTTGCTTTAAACTGAAGTATTATTTGAATTTGAAAGTAAATATGATGTTGATCAGATCCGAATAACTGGTGAAAGTTTTTTTTTACTAACTTACATCTGTGATCTTTGTCACCCCCATCAAAGCTGAGTCTGGATCATGGAAGTCTATCTGCCGCCATTCTTCTGTTATCTGACAACAATGTATCGAAACGATAATTATACTGATATTTATCTCTTATCTTCACGACTTTACAACAGATAAATCTAATGTGTCATATATTCTGTTATCTGACAACAATATATCGTAACGACAATTATACTGATATTTCTCTCCTATCTTCATGACTTTACAACAGATAAATCTAATGTGTCATATATTCTGTTATCTGACAACAATGTATCGAAACGATAATTATACTGATATTTATCTCTTATCTTCACGACTTTACAACAGATAAATCTATGTGTCATATATTCTGTTATCTGACAACAATATATCTCTCCTCTCCTATCTTCATGACTTTACAACAGATAAATCTAATGTGTCATATATTCTGTTATCTGACAACAATGTATCGAAACGATAATTATACTGATATTTCTCTCCTATCTTCACTACTTTACAACAGATAAACAAAAAAAATTAAAAATGACATTTATTCTATAATTTTTAATAGCTCACCTTGGCAAAACATGAAAGAACATCAACCGAAGAATTTGAAAATTTCACAAGAGATGTTGCAACAACCACCTGCAAGTATAAAAGATAGATTATCTAGCTAACTTTTCATATAAAAGAAAACTAAATGTTTGAAAGTTTCAAAAAGCATACAAATTTTCAAAAAAATTGACAAGTTCATATTTTTTGAAGAAACAAACTTTCAAAATAAACTTAAAATTTAAGGGCAAATATAAAATAAATTATAAAGGCATACTGCTAATAATTGTTTTGCTAGATTTTATATTCTTATTTAGGGAAAAAGAGCATTCTGGATATACAATGTAGACATTATTACATGATACTTTTACATAAGCAGTACACACATCTTTGTCTATTTCCAAGGCACGTTCTATACGGTTAGTACACTCCGTCCTGAAGGTCTGTACCCAGAACACTAGAGCCTCCTGGTACCACTGCTGATAGTGGGAAATAGAAAGTCGAAACACATCCCTGTAAGCAGAATTTTAATCATTATTAATATCATGTATTTAATTTTACGGAATGGGTTATTTAAAACCTTACACAAGACCCATTCCTGGTTTCCATCTGTAAGTTCTGAGAGTATACAGTAGACACCCATCCCTGGTTTCTATCTTTAGGTTCTGAGAGTATACAGTAGACACCAATCCCTGGTTTCTATCTTTAGGTTCTGAGAGTATACAGTAGACACCCATCCCTGGTTTCTATCTTTAGGTTCTGAGAGTATACAGTAGACACCCATCCCTGGTTTCCATCTTTAAGTTCTGAGAGCATACAGTAGACACCCATCCCTGGTTTCTATCTTTAGGTTCTGAGAGTATACAGTAGACACCCATCCCTGGTTTCCATCTTTAAGTTCTGAGAGTATACAGTAGACACCCATCCCTGGTTTCTATCTTTAGGTTCTGAGAGTATACAGTAGACACCCATCCCTGGTTTCTATCTTTAGGTTCTGAGAGTATACAGTAGACACCCATCCCTGGTTTCCATCTTTAAGTTCTGAGAGCATACAGTAAACACTCTTCTGTCTGTTACCAGTTACATTCTCAGCGTATACAGCAGATTCATAGCTTTCACCCCCTACCATTTAGTTTGAGAGTTCCAAATTGTTATGCACCTACCGTCGACTGATGTTGTCACGGATAATGTTGTAGAACTTCCGGACAGCAAAATAGACCCTGAGAGAGAGACGACTACTTGCGGTGACATTGACTGGAAAATTGTGGTAACGTCGCTGATATTTGTCCATCTCCATCATCAGCTCCTTCATCACAGGGCTTACCTTTACATAATACACATAAATTATCTTACTCGTACTATCATATTCTTAGCTTCAACTACACGCACATATCATATTACATATTTTCCTGTAACTAGGCATACCTTTCATACATCGATATTCAGGGTCACCTGGATATAAGTCAATTCATACAATTTGATTTATTTCTAAGACAGAAAATTGCTTGAGTGCCCAAACTTCACAATTACCTTCAATCAGTTCACAGCATTATTAAAACAGCTACTAAACAGTTATTCATATTTTAGATAAAAGAATTTGGAGCTTTCATGTATGTCTAAATATGGACCTAATATATTACCAGAACCTTCTCTAACTTTAATTAAAATAAATGATTGGAAATTTGATGTTTACCTTTTTTTCCACTGCAAAGGACACCACTCTGTAGTAGACAATGCCCAATGCTGTGAAGAACGTCTTGACAATGCCCATGGAATTGAGATGTGATGATACACTGTTGACTAACTCTCCAAGGGCAGTCAGTTCAGGGATGACAGCATCCTTAACAAGGTCATGTTTCTTGATAGCAGCCACTTTGATGTCCATCCATTCATCTACGTCCTCCTGTAAAAGGTAAGACAAAATATTAGAGACGTTGAGGTAGATTACAAATCAATATCTAGCTAATAAGATATCAATGACATTATGGTCATATAGATAGTGAACAGATGACATGTATTAAGCAAAAGAGCACCACTAAATGTTCATTTGGTAGCAGATACAACATATACCACATGATTAATAAACTGCATCATACAATTTGTTTAATCTATTAAGAGACTGACTTCAGTGATGTTGGGGGTAAGAAATGTGAAAATTAAGAACACAAAATAAAAAATCTCATCCCTGGTGTTTTTTATCATCATTATATCTCCAAAATACTGGTGCACATATTTTAATTTTCTCTTCGGAAAAATCCATATTATGCATCATTTGATATTCTGATAATTGTCTACCAGGTATTTGAGTAAATCCATTTGTTCAAGAGTTTTCTGTGTTGATGGACACAAATTTACAAAGGTAAGCACAATAACCAGCATTCTACAATTTGGTTACTACAGTAAATACACATATACACCATCAACACTTAAACTGTTCCCCCTAAGATTTGGAGTGATCTCCCCTTATACCTGAAAAGAGATTTTATTGATTTCAGGTCAGAAAACATTCTTTTTCCGTTTCCTTATAAGAATTGTTATTATCATAGCTTTACCTTTTGATTTGGCTTGACCTTTGACCTACCTGAAGCTTATTAAGGACTTTGGCTGTAAGGTTATTCAATGGTGCTGACCTTGTCTCCCAAAGGTCAAGTTCAACTAGCTGTATAATAATCCTGGGAAAGGAAACAAATACTCTTATTTTCATATCGTAGTATTTCATACATCAAAATTATAATCAATAAGCATGCTCTTTGGTTTCCACCTAAGTCTTATGATTATCTTAGATATTTTCATATTGATTAATTAAGGTGCATTTCGCAATGTTCCCTACACAAAGTAAAACTCTTTAAAGTTTGTTCAAGTATCACAATATTTAATGAATGAATATGTGACAAGATATTTTACTATATAATCATTTCTGAGGATTATTATAGTAATGACAACCCCAATAAGGTCATGTCTACATATAAGTCCATATTTTTGTTTTAGAGGAAAATATCCAACAAATGACATTCTTATCCAGTAATAAGCCCACCTCCTGACTTAGAAGTTATCCAAACTAATTCTGAATTGGACCAATTATAGACATTCAAACTGGATTTGAATTCCACAAGTTGACTGGTCTACCTACCCTAACTTGGCCTTTAATTCCACAAACTAACTGGTCTACCTACTCTAACTTGGCCTTTAATTCCACAAGTTAACTGGTCTACCTACCCTAACTTGGCCTTTAATTCCACAAGTTGACTGGTCTACCTACCCTAACTTGGCCTTTAATTCCACAAACTAACCGGTCTACCTACCCTAACTTGGCCTTTAATTCCACAAGTTGACTGGTCTACCTACCCTAACTTGGCCTTTAATTCCACAAGTTGACTGGTCTACCTACCCTAACTTGGCCTTTAATTCCACAAGTTGACTGGTCTACCTACCCTAACTTGGCCTTTAATTCCACAAACTAACTGGTCTACCTACTCTAACTTGGCCTTTAATTCCACAAGTTGACTGGTCTACCTACCCTAACTTGGCCTTTAATTCCACAAGTTGACTGGTCTACCTACCCTAACTTGGCCTTTAATTCCACAAACTAACCGGTCTACCTACCCTAACTTGGCCTTTAATTCCACAAGTTGACTGGTCTACCTACCCTAACTTGGCCTTTAATTCCACAAGTTGACTGGTCTACCTACCCTAACTTGGCCTTAAGAATGTTGATATTGTCCAGTGAGGGAGGAAACAGGACAGGCAGTTCCTCCAGGTGATCCGACACCCAAACAATGTACTTGGTGGCAGCTTTCCTGTACATGGAGATCTGTAACGTTAAATACATCCACTATCATACATGTACTTTGTAAATTGATTATAACAAATTAAAGAATATTGGAATTATAAGATAATCATTGTTCATATCCATCAATACAAACATGTGATATAGCCATGATGATATAGAGGAGCTGTGCCATAATCTAAGAGTTAATTTCATTAGTGAAGTAGAAACTTAAAATCCATGGCAGTTTGTATTTCTTGAGGAAGCTCAGAAAAACAGACAAGTATGTTATTGGTTAGTTCTTAGGCAAATTGTGAACTCCCTTTATTGCTGTGAAAACAAGGAAACTCAAAATGGCCGTGCTGTTCACAGGGCAATAAACCCAGCTAATCGTAACATCTGCTGAATCATTTTTTATGCAAAGTTTGAGAACACAGATTCCAGGAATAACTTAAATATAGATTATGTTAATTTTCACTTGATTACAAAGTACTCTAAAATTACACGATACCAATGTAGTATGATAAAGTGAAGCCCATGGTAAAGTGACAGGAAAAATTGAATGAAAGGAAAAAAGTGCAAAAATATTATGTAAAGAACTTAAGTTTTTCTTTGATGGAGCTATCTTTTTGGCAACTGAGGTAAAACTCTTTTTTTCAAGGTTTTATCAAATTCAAAAGATTATGGATAAAGCATTTTAACTTTAGTGAAATATTTGTTTTACTGAACAAAAATAGTTAAAATCAACCAACAGCCACCTCTGCATCTGTAAGTGGCATCTTCTGTGAGACTGTGGAAACGTCTAACTGTTGAGTGACCCAGGTCATCTGTAGGTCATGGATAGCTGTAGTTAAGGCATGATCAGTGTGGACAATATCCTCATTTGTGGTGGTCCATTCCAGCAGGACAATCACATGGCTGAAAAAAAAAGAAAAATAACAAATAAAAAAACAAAATATGAAATTAAAAAAAAAAATAAAGACAAATAATCATAAATATCTTTTATGAGATTGATAAATGTGTTGATAAGTATAACTATTAAAATGCTGTGTATTATTTGGAATGTACAACTTACACCACAGCCTGGGACAATTTGCCAATTTTGTGTGAAATTGCAAAGCTATCCAGGATTCGCCTTTCCTTGGCTGGTAAATGGTTGTCCATTGCTGTTTCCGACTCCTAAAATCATAGCAAAGTCATTTATAGACAAAAGGTAAAAATCTTTAAAAAATAGGGAAAAGAGAGAGAATTATTCAATTTTGCTGTGATTCACCCACACTCTATATCAGTATCATATGTTGATATACAGAGTTATCTACCTTGGATGAGACTGCATATAGTGACTTTCTCTTACTCTATGATCATTTCTTAATAGTATGCAAAGTGTTTGTACAATTAGAGTTATCTACCTTGACTGTGCTTCAGTAAGGTATTGTGATGTTGGTATATAGAGTTATCTACCTTGACTGTGCTTCAGTAAGGTATTGTGATGTTGATATATAGTATATCGACCTTGACTGTGCTTTAGTAGGTATTGTGATGTTGGTATATAGAGTTATCTACCTTGACTGTGCTTCAGTAAGGTATTGTGATGTTGGTATATAGAGTTATCTACCTTGATTGTACTTCAGTAAGGTATTGTGATGTTGGTATATAGATTATCTACCTTGGCAGCCTTTGCTATATGGTCGTATATCTGCTGTGTTGCCTGGTAATAGTCTTCCACAGAGAAACATTCCTCTGCCTCACTGTAATTCTCCTATAACAGAGGTAATTTTGACATGTAGCAACAAGCCACTAGTAGACACAAAGAAACTTCACGGATTCCACATTCATCATTACAGGTTACAGTGTTTGGACATTAAACTCTTTGAGGTTTTGTTTCAGAACATAAATTCTGGTTCAATATCCTAAAGTAGAAGACAAGGCATGTATACACCTACCATACTGTGGGAGATGTCAAGCTTGAGCCTGATACGGCCAGCAGACTTGGACTTTCCAGACAATGGATGGATGTCCCACCACCAATCACAGCCATGAGCTGGAATGTCCTGTAAAACATACCAAAGAGTCAATGTGTTGTAAACATCTGTTAAAGCTTTACACAGATAGGAAAATATCAGTTTAAGGAAAAGTATTAATCTTAGACTGACAAATACTTACTCTTACAGGTATTACTACTCGTCCCCAACACCCATCATGATGTTTGTTATGGTCAGCCATCTGCCTTATTATTCGGAAAAGGCTGGTCACATTGCTGAAAAAGACAGTGGTAATCATTTATAACTTAACAAAGTGATTCTTTAGATATCTGCTTAAAATAAGGCAAAGTTATGATGTAGGAACACAAGAACGGTTATTTCAGATGATCATCACTATGATTTTACATACTGTTTGATTCCGTGGTGTTTGTCAGAATGTTTACTGTCAGTAGTGGTGTGTTTACTCTCTCCGTTACTATGTGACTCCTCCTCCTGGTCACAGACGTACACATGTATCTCATCCATCAGCAGCTCATCCAATAATCTGTAAACCAATGCTTCACATTACTGTCATCACTTTTACAAGTCATGTCATCAAAATTATATTTTCATCCTTCTATGTGTCTTCATGTTTTCATAATAGATCTTCCTGTTTTCTTCATACTTGCATTTTAAACAGAAGTAGACAGAAAATTGTTTTTCTTAGAATAGAATGTGAAATATAATTTTAACAATATCACTGAAAATAATCAAAAGATTATATTTTCCTTAAAAAATAAATGTGGATGAACTGCAAACAAGTAATATACAAAACAGAGAAAACATACAGTTGGAACTCATCATTCCAGTGAGGAGAGGCTGAATTCTTGACCGCAGCAGTACGCAGTACATCTTCCTGTTGTTCAGTAGATAGACTGCTAGATGTTTTCCGGCTCTTTGGTGACATTTTAGGCGAGTTCCGAGGAGATGACTTTGGGGAGACCTTGAGGTTACGCTGCATTGGATGGACTATACTGACAAGGCAGTAGGGGTCACCAAGTTCTGAAACAAGGTCAGAAGGTCAGGGTCAAACACAAGGTCAGGAACTCATGATTAAATACAAAGTCTGATGATAGGGTCACATAAAAGGTCATGATGTCAGAGTTCAATAAAAGATCAGGAGGTAGTGTAAGTAAGTGTATCATTGTCGAATTACTAAATATTGTTTTTACCTCGTACTATTTCAAATCTTATTTATTGCTCTTGGTATGTAAGTTAATCAAGTCATGAATGAGCTAAATTTTACTGATGTTCTAAAAATAAATAGGAGAGGATAGTATGCAGATCAGGTGGCATACTGGTCAGGAAACTTTCCAGTCTGAACCACCATCCACACATAATAACCAAACAAGACTCAGTGTATTTCTGGATTTTGTAAAATCTTGATATTACAAATAAGTTACCGTTAGAGCCATCCAGCTTTTTCAGCCCATCTCCCTCCAAGACTGTGATGTTTGCTTGCAGACACTTTGGCTGAAGGTAAAGCAGAAAATATTTTATTGAATGTTTCCATTTTAATTTCACTTCGTTAAGCTAATGGATCTCTCTTAAATTTCCCAGCAAGAATTCAAAACTTTACATAACAGTTAATTCTACCCAAGATCAAAAACTAAAATGACAAAGAAGATAATTCTCATACCCTTATTTTGCAGGCCTAACAATCAACAGCATGATGTAACTCTAAAATCCGCATAAATCTCATTTTTGAAAAAAATTAAATAACTAACCAAACTCTATCAACACCCATTTACTTAAAAAGTAACATTCAAAACTATCCTCGATACTTCAAAAGTTACCATCACTTTCACTCTCTGCAATCCCTGGAACATGTCATGGCAAATTAGAAAGTTCCATATGCGACACCTTGTGGACAAGATGAAAAAACTAGTTTGTATCAGCCTGTGATTTGCCTTGTGCTTTTGATTTTGCCCTGATATGATCCAGGGGTCCAGAGAGCAAAACTTATGACTATATTCAATGAAAAGAGTAAAACTTGTTTACATTATATGAGAGTATCGTTCTATATATAAGAAGTTAAGGTGATTGATGTGTAACAAGAGGCCAAATTGACCTGTTACTGCATATCAGTCTTACCTTGTTGGAGAGTTCTTCCTTGATAAAGAATTCATGTTCATCTCGGTCGACTTCAAACACCTGAAGAAAAGAATACATACCAAGTGTTTGAACTGTAACAGGCAATGAACATTTGTATATTGGAAATTAATAAGTCTATTAACATATTTTCATGTTCGATGATGATGATGATGATGATGATGATGATGATGATGATGATGATGATGATGATGACGATGATGACGACGACGACGATGATGATGATGACGATGATGATGATGATGATGATGACGATGATGATGATGATGATGATGATGATGATGATGATGATGATGATGATGATGATGATGATGATGATGATGATGATGATGATGGAAAAGTGGTTGACTCTGAGTAGGTGATACAAGTAATATCACTGTCATGTTTTATAAAGATGAAATAAATCTGTGGAAAAAATGTTCCTGTTTAAGCTACCTACCAGTAATAAGCCCATCCCTTGATTTTAGATGTAAATAAAATACTGTAATAACAATTAGAGTGAATTATCTTGGCTGTTTCTGTTAATGGGTTTAAACAGTTTGATCAAAGTTGTTTGTTTATGAAATAAGGACAGATCTGATCTTATTTTGCTACCTGATCAGTCAGAGTTAGGTCTTTCAAGGTCTAAATGTTAACATTTTTAATGACTGAAGAATTGTCATAATTGGACTGGAAGCTAGTTTTATAGAAAATATACATAACATTACGTCCCTAGTACATATCCCTGAAATACAGCTGGTTTCAATATGACAGAGTATATAGAAATATGTATATCTAAGAAATAAAGATAGTTTAATAACACCATGGTGGCGTTTTTGATCCACACCTTGGACAAAATGTTTTTCTGATGTGTCCATCTTTTATAAAACATATATGTATTAATTTCTTGTTATAAACTAGGTGTGGACGTTTTTGATCCCCACCTAGGACCAAATGTCTTCTCATGTAAAATTTGTTGTTCATGCTTGAAACTCTTATATTTCAAGTTCGTCGTTTTTATATTAATAAATGGCCAATTTCAATCAAATCTGATCTTTTGTCTTGTCTTTTATGCTTATACATTTGGTCCAACTAGCTTGCCCTCACGATGGTCATGTATAAAGTTTAATATTTAAATCTGTCCTCAGTAAGATCTGCTACTGGTACGAGACATGAATTAAGAACTATTACAACAGACAAGACATATTGCCAGATTAATGGCTGCCAAGATTGGTGTAAGGTCATTCAGGTGATTAGGTACACCAGGGGCGTACACCAGGTATGTATACCATACACGTTTGGGGGTAGGTCAAGCACACCTGTTTATCTTGGATGTCCTTCACTAAGTCTATGGTCAACAGGAAGCCATTGGCTTACATATCCAACACAACTAACACCGCCCTTGAATCAATCACCTGGTCTTATCAGTATGTAAGTGGTCAGTTTTGTAGGAGACACCACCTAAGTTTACATGTATTCTTGATACCAACACCTACTCAGTCACAAAACACTCTAAACTATTCCCCCAAAAAAGGTGAAACATATATCAAAACCAAAGGACAGAATTGTTTGGGTAGGTGACCAATGTCTAATCAGGGATTTCCTACTGATCAAGATAATTAACTCCTATGATGTATAGGTACAAAATATTACCTAGACAACAAACATCATAAATGATGGAGCTAAACATCTTTGTTCTGGATATTAAGTGGACATTTAAAATATCACTTACTGTTTTATCAGGGTTTTCCATAATTTTGTTAGTAGTAGGCTGTGTAGTGAAAGTAGGAGGCTGGCCTGCCGTGTACGTGTAGTCGTGTACGGAACATTATTACGGAACTGGATTGGTGTAGGCGGCCAAATGATCAAAGTAGCCGGTCAAATTGGCCGGCGACCGGCTCTAATGGAAAACCCTGTTTATACTGAATTTTTATTCACTAATAAGCTCATGTTTTGTAATAAGCCTACCCACACATTCTGTACATAGTGCTTTTAGCAGAATTACCAACAAACACTATTTAATTGTTTTTTAATAAACTTATCCCCTACACTAGATCAGGGCCATGAGTTAGCTCCCCTTTGCTTATCCAGAAAAGGAGATACAAATCACAAGTAATAAATGACTTGTTTGCAGGCATTCTTAAAATTGCCTGTTTTATTTATTTGACTGGTTTTACATCCACTATTAGGGCTTTCAGCAGACGAGAAAAGAAAATGAGTAGACAGGAAATATTATAAAGTGATGAGAGAGAAGTGATAGAGATGAGGTAAAGAGAGGCTGTCCAAAACTGTTTTTTGACTTTTAAGTTTGAAGATGAATGCTGGCCTAATTATAGCTCTAACCTAACTCTAACAGCTTAAGTCACAGCAAGAGGAAGGGGATTCTACACTACATGAACTTTGATGTGTTTATAATATTGATATATATATATGATACTCATTCTTATAATGCATGATCAAGGCAAACTACCTCTCTCAAATGGTCCACCAGGTCTCCTGGGCGCAGTCCCACTGTCTTGTCTGGAACTCCAAGTGGGTGGAGCAGGCTCCTCAACAACCCACGGTAAATATTCTCATTCTGAAATAAAGAAGTACAGTGTAAAATAGAGTCAGGCTTATAATCTACTGAGGGTAAATATTCCTTATTCTAAAACAACTCAGAAATATCTGCATCAAGAGCAGGTCGCTGAGACTCATATATGGTGTTAAATATGGTCTCTGTCACTCTACTGACGGGTCAGTATGGCTTGTAGTGTTAAATACGGTCTCTGTCACTCAGCTGAGAGAGCAGACCTCTTTGGCTCATACAGATATTGGCTGGAGACCTAGGTTTGATTCCAGCTATCAAGTTTTTTCTCTCTGATCTCTCTAACTTTCACCAAAAACAAATCATGCGTCTTGTGTTTAGATTTAGAATATCTAAAGGAAATCAACAATCAAGTTTATAAGAAGGAATTTAAAGACATTACAATTGTTAAACAGCCGTATCTGCATCTCCAAATGGAGGAAACGGTCAATAAGGATGCAGAAAGCACACTTCTTGTCGTGAATACGCTTCAGGGCAAAGATTTCAATACAAAGTTTACTAAACACAAAACATTCTTGTCCTGAACTTAATGTAACAGAATCACTATTAATCTGAAGCAAATTTCCTGTTTAACAGGAGAGAAAATGACTTCCAACCCAGGACCACAATATTGGTAACCCAAGGTCCTGATGCTCACACTCTGTGTGTTACCAATGATGCGTACACCTGGGAACATTACAAAGACACTTTGTGTGTTACCAACAATGTGTACACCTGGGAACACTACAGACGCTCTCTGTGTTACCAACAATGCATACACCTGGGAACACCACAAAGACACTCCGTGTATTACCAACGATGTGTACACCTGGGAACACTGCAAAGACACTCTGTGTGTTACCAATGATGTGTACATCTGGGAACACTACACAGACACTCTGTGTGTTTCCAATGATGTGTACATCTGGGAACACTACAAAGACACTCTGTGTGTTACCAATGATGTGTACATCTGAGAACACTACACAGACACTCTGTGTGTTACCAATGATGTGTACATCTGGGAACACTACACAGACGCTCTGTGTGTTCCCAACATTACAAAGACACTCAAACATTTCAAGCTATAATCACCAGCAGCAAACTAGATTAGTTTCTCCTCCTTGTGACAGTATAGGACAGATGCTTCCTAAATGAAAAACCTCCAGGTTAATGGTATCTATTTAATCTTTAATATTATGAAATATTTGCCTAATTTCTAGAGTAAAAATGCTTAACGAGTGTATACAGCTTATCTAGGAGTATTTCAGAATTGTCAGCAGTGGTTATAAATATGTGCACTGTGACCTTGAAATGAAGTCTGCAAACATACCTACCCCAGTATCAGAGCTATGAACACACAGAATAAATATCCCTTCTATCCAAATCATTTACAACCATGTCTAAGTTACTACAGTCTTACCACATATATAGTATCAGGTTTTACATGACTGCTTGCTCCAGAACAAAAAGTTTTCCAACAACAGCTGACAAACAACACTGTTGTCCTTACCATTATCACAGATTTAGGTAGTAAGTCCACTTTCTTGTGTAACAATGGCCGAACACATTTCTGCTTCTTTAGTTTACCTTTCATCACAATATCAGACAAAGAATATATTTTTCTGCCTTTTGAGAGAATATAAGTCACAGATTATCACTAAAAGTTTTCACTTATAAAACTACTCTGAATTCCTCGAAGATCTAAAACCTTTCAACACAAATGAAACAGACTTTGAAAGTTCAAGTCAAAGCTCTATAATGCTAAGAGTGAGAGAGCCATATCGCTTTATATATAACACACAATATCTGATGTCTGCGAAACAACACGTAGGTGAAGGATGGTACAACAGCCTAGGTAGTGACACCTAAACAAGTATACACCCTAATACCCACAACACGATGGCGTGGTTAGTTTGCTTACACTACTTCAATTTGTCAAGTGATAGTAGAATCTTGTCGGAAGTTGTTGTTGCCGGCAACGTATGTTTCCGTACGTGTAGGAGTAGGAGTTACCGCAACACCTCAATCACATTCGATCAAACATTTAAAGACAAATTAAGCACTCACTGAATGCTTCATTTAGGAGTAAAACATCAAACTGCCACTAATGTCAAAGGTACATGGAAATGTTAACATGTATTCTAGTCAGCCCGTCCTAACTGCAAAGGAAGTTGAGGGAGTCTACTACTGATGACTCAAGATTACATAAACATGGGAAAATAACTCTCAACAGGAAAGTCTTATCCAAGTTATTGGAAAATTACTACAGCTACGTCAATAAAAAGAAGCCAATTTCATGCCAATCTCACCATAGTAACACGTGTAACCAGCCTCTGTATCATATGGATGGTCATTTGTCTACACTCATAAAACAATTCTGAAGCCTGATACTCAAATGTCTGAGTGTTTAACAAACAACAGTCAGGTATAGACCATTATCGGAAATTCCATCTGGTTGATTAGAGTAACAAAGAATATTTCATCCAATCAATTCTCTCCAATTATCTCAGAATAAGGTTTTCTGACCTACATAATACCTAAAAAGAACCACTTTAATTTCAATTGTTGTGCCTCATCCATGGAAGTTTGTGTTTCTCAGGAAGTTGTGAAACAGACTGGTCTATGCTGTTGTGGTTGTATCCCTGAGAACTTTACCCTTATTGCTTTTGAAAACATGTAAATGGCCTCCTGTATGGCGTTCAGTGAGGTAGCCACCAGGTACTACAAGAGACACTGCCTCCAAACTAGCATGGCTGTTCATGAGGCGATAAAACCCACCGAACAAATAAACTTACTATATCTAACTCAGCTGTTAGGATGAGACACCACACCAATAACAAGAATCGTTAATAAGCTTAGGTGCAGTGTTTATAAAAGTTACCTACTTATCTATTAATAACCCAATGCCTGGTAATAAGAACACCTATGTATATATCTTCTCTGTCAATAACCCAATGCCTTGTAATAAGACCATGTATGTATATTTTCTCTATCAATAACCCAATGCCTGGTAATAACACCACATATGTAGATTTTCTCTGTCAATAACCCAATGCCTGGTAATAAGACCATCGATGTATATTTTCTCTGTCAATAACCCAATGCCTGGTAATAAGACCATCTATGTATATTTAGACAGAGGTACATTTCAGGCAAGACTTAGGCATGCCTCAAAGTGTCTTCTTTTAGCCTGGATAGAAACAAGTACATGTATTGAATATGTCACATACAGTTGACACACGAGATGACAGCTGGAATCGCCTTTAAATCCCGGGGATACAGTACTTCACTTCAGTGGCACTGGTATTGGGATAAAAGCAGAAATAGCTACCCATGTCAATAACTCCTTATCAGGTAAGTCAAGTGGCAATACCACATCAGTGGCAACCATTGCCATGGTAACAGCTGATTAAGGTTAATATCAAATAATTTATCAAGTTTTGACCGAGAGAGAGTGTGAGGACACTAAACCTAAGTACATAAATGACATTTATAGTTCACAGTATATAGTACTCCTGTAGACAATGTAATGTCAGTGCTTTAACATTAGGAATAAGGAAGCAGTTTCCTTCCTACGAGATGTCCAATATCAAGGATCTCTGCTATCTGCGAAAGCCTTAGGGAAGAGTGGTAAGCTACAATCTTCCCAACTGTTCCATCTTACTTTATACAGTGGACTGTTCTTTAATCTATTACACATTTCTATCAAGTGTAATGATTTATATCTGTTTTTACTACTGTCTGACAAAGCAATGGGAACATTTATGACCTGTGCAAACATACCAAGATATCCAAGCATATACGACAACAGCAAAATCTAAAATATAGCCACTATTGGATATAAATGTGCTTTTTAACATGTCAGCCCATACCAACTGGGAGTAAACACTTGAATGTACAGTGACCCTAGAGAATCAGTCCAGTATTATATATATGTCAGCTTGTTTGATAGCTTAGACAAGTGGAACAATGCAAAGCAGATAACTTAAGCTAAAAGACATTAACTAAAAAAACAAAAAAATCAGTTTATCATTTTAAAACTGATCTGAATGAAATTTCCTTCTGGTAAAAAATCGTAAACATGAAACATCCTCACCACCTTTTTTTGGGGGGTGGTGGAATGGTGAAGCAGTAAGTGTCAATCCACTTATGAAATGATAAGCTCATGCCTAGTAATAAGCCCACACAGCGATACTACTGTTCAGCACAATTACCAACCATTGCTATTTCACTGTTGTTTGATGAGACCTGACTTTGAGGAAGAAGTAATGTGTTTGCCATCGTACAGTGTTAATGTTGAGTGTACAGGTTACCTTACTATAATTAGCTAGTAGAAACTTCCGTTTAGGTCGGCAGTAGAGTTTCTCGCTAGAGAAAGAAGTATCACTAGTTTGAACCCCAACACAGGTTACCTTACTATAATTAGCTAGTAGAAACTTCCGTTTAGGTCGGCAGTAGAGTTTCTCGCTAGAGAAAGAAGTATCACTAGTTTGAACCCCAACACAGGTTACCTTACTATAATTAGCTAGTAGAAACTTCCGTTTAGGTCGGCAGTAGAGTTTCTCGCTAGAGAAAGAAGTGTCACTAGTTCGAACCCCAGCGATAGCAAGGTGTTTTTCATTCCTCCTTCCTATTACAGATTTGATGCTGTTGACCACTCTAAGGGTAGAAGCTATAGGAGATGGAGATGCTTCCTTGCAGACACTGAATCTGGGATGTTGTTGTCTTTGGGATTGAAGAGTTTGTAAAGGAGGAAGTTGTATAGAAGTAGAGAACATAGGTTGTCTTACAAGCATTGTTTCCCTGCAGAGATGTAGAAACGTAAGCAGTCATCTACCGATCATGTGAGTTTTCCCCAAGTATTCTGATTTCCTCTCAGACTGTTCGTGTACCTCAATCTGGTCCAACAAGCATTAGTTTAAGTTGTATAACTTATTTCACAGTTGTAAAATGAACCAAGTTTATATATCATGTGATAGATAAAGGAATATAAATATAATCAGCCTCAAATAAACCAGATGTACATACAAATATCTGATATTTACTAAATGCTTTAGGCCAATTAAATAATGTATTTTCAAAATGTTATTTATTCACATTAAACAGAAACACTGCTCAGAGGCAAGTTAGTTTACACTGCATACAACAGTGTACACAATTTACAGACAAAAACAGAATAGATTCCTTCAGTTACTAGTAGAGGACTATAGGACCATGTAACTCTCATCACCATGCTTTAAACTCAAAATACCATAATGGTGAAATGAACCGCAGTTCACTTTACCATAGGCTTCACTTTATCATACTACACCACCAGGCCAAAATTTACACTAACATTCAGTTTTACCTAAAGTGAAGAATGAGATAAGTAGAAGTTTTCCCATGGTCTCACTGACTTGGAGATAACAAACCTCGACTGTATCTAGAAATCAAAATCAATCATATCTAGTAATATAGCCAAATCCTAATGGAATTTCACTTGAATTTTTCTTCCATAACACACAAAAGTCTAGTTTTCTGAGACGCATCAACATACCAATAGACAAAACATGTTTTATATGATATGCACAAAGATGGCAATGACTTTGCGAAAATAATTTGAAAACAGAACTGAGTATAAGAATGTTAAGCTTAAATTCTACAGGAAACTTCAATTACTGCAATATATACTAAAAATATTGCCCACCTGAAACTCCTCTAAAACGCTGTCTCGTGAGGAATTACTGAGTCGCCTTCCAACATCATCAAATAAAGTATCCAAGTGATAAGCCGATTCCTGCGAACTTTTCCTTCTTTTACCAAAAAATATTCTTCTTTTCTCCGATAATCGCCTTCTAAACTTTGAAAATAGTCCCTTGCTGTCTCTGAATTGTTCTGAGAGAATGCTTTCTGAGGGAGAAGTTGGCAGCGAGCGTGAATGTATTGACTGTAGTGCCCCTATTCCACACAGACAGCTGTCAGATGTAGGGGTAGGGGGCTCACTGTAGTTAACATGGTACAGAGGTACACTGTGACTGTGGCACATTAATGGACGATTATGGCTGGACTCCACTTCCATCGTAATTGGTTTCAAGATACTTTTGTTGGAGTATTATTTTCTGACTCTGATAATTGTTTTCTAAGATCACTTTTCCAATCACTCTCAACCTTTCATAAAATTATAATTTCAATATCATCCAACACAATGAAATAAAACTGAACTTTAATAAATACAGGTTCCATTAATTTTACACTAGCTGTTAATTCACTAAGATTTACCAGTCCCTGGTAAGACGTTCAGTCTTGTGTTGATAAGCTAAACGTTCAGCTGTATATATAGGCGGTATGGAGTATCATGGGGACTGTACCCTGTAGGTCACACTGGGGTAAAATACTTCAGAGATAGTAAAGTTGTGATTGGAAGTTCACGATAGGCCACAATATTTACCGGTAACAACCAACATAGTGTCGTGGAGTATGCTGAAATTTACCTTTAACAATGGAGTATGTATGAATTAGGGGGATCAATGGTACACCATAACAATATAAGTTACCTGTTGAGTGTCCTTAACAAATCAGTTATTTGGTTGTTAGAACATTTCCTGTTAAAAAAAATCTCTAAAAATTTCTAATTCATGACTTAGGATACATATTTTGTAAGGGATTGAAATTTGCTTTTGTCTCTCCTTCTGTGGGACCCCATCAAACCAGTCAGTGAACAACATTCCTAAATTATAACTGTGTAGCCATATAAACAAGATATAACAGCTGCTATAGAAAATATATCAACAATCACACACCCTAATCACAATCAATATCAGCCAATCAAATTCTCAATCAAAACAAAAATATCTTAACTAAAATAACAGAGTTTAAACAGACAAGAGATATAGGTCACAAAAAAAACCCTGATAAAATCTTCATCTTCTGGGCAGGAAAGCTGCAGGCAATCTATTTTTTCGCATCAACAGTTTTGGTCCTTTTAGTGAATGTGAGATACGTGTGGCGAGTAACCACATTGTTACATTATTAATTTTGTTATAAGTCACATTATTAATTTTGTTATAAGTCAGATTTGTTGGAAATTACTTAATTCAAGCAAAACAAACAGTACTCAGTAAGCTGCTCTGATAATTGCTACATCATCTCAAGTTAAAATAAATCAGGGGAAGCAACTGAGAAATCAAAAGAATTCCAGAAGGGCTCATCAGTTTCCTCAATTTACTACTGATCCACCTAGTTGGCAAACAGTCGAGCTAGACAGTCTAGCTTGTTTACTGCATCATATACTCAAAAAACATTTTCTGCCCAGAATCCATCCAAGTGAAGGACAAATAAGCACACTGTAGAAGTGTGTGAGAGAATCCCTTATGGAATTAAGCCATTAAAGTGCTGATAATGATTTTCTGAAAAATAGTAACAATGACCTTGACCTTGAACCAACTACCCTGAAACACAAACTTGTCCAAGCCATTTTGCTGCTGTATAAGTAAGTGTTGTTCAGAATGAATCCCTATAGGGATGGAACTGCTCTGGACTGTTGATAAACTTTGCTGATGACATATGTACATAGACAGATGGACGGACGGAGAGGAAAACTGGTCCCTCAGTTGTTACCAGTAGTTAAGCATCGAAAATTGAAAGGTGATATATTTTGAGTTTAGTTGATTAGATTCTAAGTCTTCATCAAAAGAACTAGATATAAACCAATACACAAAATAAAAAAGGAATATTTGGCCTGTATAATATTCAAATAAAAGGTATGAACCAATTCTACACTTCAAATCCAATTGTCAATGGTTGATGTAGGTGGGGGCATGTTATCATAATCAAGTCATACCATTTATACATTTTCATGTAGGTTTAGGACTCCAGTATAACCTGTATAAAGTCCAGATATTAACTTTGATATGTGTTTGATATTGTAATCTTTGACAGAACAGCATGAGAGTAACTATTTTAAAGGACTGGTTGGACAGATCTAAACAAGTTGTATCAGGGCCCTTCCTCTGGTCAAAATCAAGCACATGAAACGCTAAAGTACGCCATACTCTGGTAAATATCTGTAAAATCTGAATACTGAAAATATTAATACGTTTGTAAAATATGTAGTTTTTCACAAGATAATACCTGGAAAAACATTAGCTCAATACTACAGAAAAGTCTTAATTTCTCTTGATTTTATTTTTTATCAGCTATAAAACATCTGATATCTTATTATGCATAAGATTACAAAATATTAACAAGGGCAATAACTCTTGAAAAGGGGAATAAAAACACCAAAGAAAGCCTATAGTCTAGATTCAAATGATAGCAACATATCCGAGTTTCATGGAAATTTATCAAATACTTTGATTAGAAGTAACTGATTTTGAATGGACAAATTGTTTTGGCTAGGTAGAGTAAAGGCATATCATTAACATATTTACAATCATAATACAAATATCTAATTGTAAAATTATTTTTTATCAGCAAGTTTTTTTTAGTTAATGCAGAGTAATGAAGCACATTTACTGTAATAAATTCATATGACAAATGAAGAAACTAAATGAATCATGTCTTGTCTCTATCTAAATTGGGAGTGTTTCAAAGTCAAATACTAGATTAAATGTTAGGAGTGGCCATTCACAATACCTCACATACATTTCATCAGACCTTGTACACAGAATGTGAAGTGGCATCTGTATACATTACAGATAAAATTATGCCAGATTTGAGAACATCATTGTTATGATGACTATATTGTTAGCACTAGGGTTCTACCAGTCTCTTTATCACATATTACAAGTATATGATTGTCGTAACACTCATTTCAGTTTAATGGGTTGATTGTTGACTATTTCATGGATACCTCACTGAACAAGATATGGGAGATACATTACATGCTACCTGGAGCAATTAGGGTTAAGAATCTTGTGTAAGAACACTGACAAGACAGCAGAGAACAGTCAGATTTCTTAGCTTTATGCATTCTTTACACTCCAGGGGTTACAATTACTTTCACTCTCTACATCCTCGATACTCCATGGTTTACTATTACTTTCGCTCTCTACATCCTCGATACTCCACGGTTTATGATCACTTTCGCTCTCTACATCCTCGATACCCCAGGGTTTACGATCACTTTCGCTCTCTACATCCTCGATACTCCATATTACTTTCGCTCTCTACATCCTCGGGTTTTTACGATCACTTTCACACTCTCTACATTCTCGATACTCCACGGTTTACTATTACTTTCGCTCTCTACATCCTCGATTATCCACGGTTTACGATCACTTTTGCTCTCTACATCCTCGATACTCCAGGGTTTACGATCACTTTCACTCTCTACATCCTCGATACTCCAGGGTTTACGATCACTTTCACTCTCTACATCACTTTCACTCTCTACATCCTCGATACTCCAGGGTTTACGATCACTTTCACTCTCTACATCCTCGATACTTGACGGTTTATGATCACTTTCGCTCTCTACATCCTCGATACTCCATATGTTAAAATCACTTTCACTCTCTTCATCCTTGATACTCCTGGGATTATGATCACTTTCACTCTCTACATTCTCGATACTCCACGGTTTACTATTACTTTCGCTCTCTACATCCTCGATTATCCACGGTTTACGATCACTTTTGCTCTCTACATCCTCGATACTCCAGGGTTTACGATCACTTTCACTCTCTACATCCTCGATACTCGACGGTTTATGATCACTTTCACTCTCTACATCCTCGATACTCCAGGGTTTACGATCACTTTCACTCTCTACATCCTCGATACTCCATATGTTAAAATCACTTTCACTCTCTTCATCCTTGATACTCCTGGGATTACGATTCCTTTTGCTCTCTGCACCCTTAGAACATGTTAAGGCAAAATCTAAGGTTCAATGTGCGACACCTTGTAGACAAGACATAAAGACCTGTCTGATCCTTTGATGTATATCCAGGGCTCTCACACCCCATTTTGGGACTTGAGCCCGGGGCCCTTAGAATTGGGGAAAATAGTGACGTTTTCCTTAGAATTGGGAAAACTTGGGGTCTAAATTGGGAAAAAAAGATACTGTTTTGCATTGGGAAATGGGACCGAAATCTGGCAGATCAAGAGCCCTGATATCAAACAAATCTAGGGTTGCATGATGGTATATTGTAATGAATTTAAAGTTGGGTAACTCATCTTTGTAATCTTCAAAAAGAGGGCATCAGCCTGTGATTGGTCAGTTTTTTTCCCCCTGAAACCAATTAAATTACTTTGCTTGTACATCTAATTTTGCCATGACACGTTCCAGGGGTGCAGAGAACGAAATCTTTTTTTATTTCTTTCCATTTTATACACTGTTTGACAATTTTAAAGAAGCCTATAGAACTTTGAGCTCACCAAAGGCTGATAGAAAAATAAAAGAAGTTCTTAAGATTAATTTCATCTATATCAACAAACTAGCAAATCATTATAAAATTCTGTATTTAAGAAGAGAACAACATACCAGTGTACACTGTATACTTAGTGTCAGAGTTAACCAACGCCCTTGACCTCCAATATAGCCATCACTTCATATCACAATGTTTGAAATTCATGCCAGCAGTAGATATATTCCCACCTGTTGCATATGAATATTTTTAATATTACCTGCCTACTTAGAAACCTTAACAGTTATTGTTATGTAGGTCACACCTTTGTTTATTCATGTTTGTTTTAAACAAAGCTGGAAATATTCTCCCCAAATCTTCATTTACATGGCAGAACACATGAGTGACATTAGCCAAAATGGTTTATACTTGTCCTGGGATTATCAACTGAAATGACATATGACTTTTTGATGGCGTTACCTCCCAACAACTTTCCCTAGAAATAATGACATTTCCTGAGAAAGGTTGATCTGAAGTATTATTTTAATACAATGTTACAAAGTTTAGAAAGTAAGTCCCAAACATTTCAATATTGTACCACAAAAATATGGATAAAAAAATGGTACGGAGAAATAAAATATCAACTTTCCTAACTAAAAGGGGTGACTACACTGTACAGATTTAAACAAACATACTACTTTAGAGCTAATGCTCTCTAAACCTCTATCAG